TTGACATGCCCGGCCTGCGAGCCGCCAATTGAGAAAGTACAGGAGAGCGTCATGACAGAGCCATTGAAGGTGTTCTGGCAGCCCGGTTGAACGAGCTGCTTGAGACTCAAAGAGTTTCTATCGATCCGTGGGATCGAATTCGTTTCCGTTAATGTCCTCCAGGATCCAACCGGCCTGGCCGAGTTGCAGGCATTGGGCGCCCGCTCGGTGCCGGTCCTGTCGCGCGGCAAGGACTTCATCTTCGGCCAGAGCACGCGGGAGATCGTCACCTTCCTCGGCCTGCAGGAGAAGTCGGGCCCGGAACTGTCGCCGGCTGAACTCTATGCGCGCCTCGACAAGTTCATGACGGCGGCCATTGCGCTGTTGCCGCTGATGCCGAACGAAAAACTACACATCCACGTCCCCGGCCGTCCCCGCAGCTATCGCGCCCTCTCCTTCCACCTCTTCCGTGTGGTCGCGGCCTTCCTCGACGCCGAGCAGGGTACGACGCTGGTACAGGCGTTTTTCCGCGAGGAGCCGGCGGCCGACGCCGACATGGCGGCGGTGGCTGCCTACGGCGCTGCCGTACAGGAGCGTTTTCGCAACTGGTGGGCCCATGGCGACACCGGCGCGACGCGCCTGCTTCCGACATACTATGGCGACCAGAGCCTTCACGAATTGCTGGAGCGGACCACCTGGCATTCGGGCCAGCATGTGCGGCAATGGATGATGCTGCTGGAGCGCGAAGGGCGTCGGCTCACGACAGTCCCCTCGGCGAGGCGGATTTTGCCCGCCTTCCGATGCCCAGCAACGTCTGGGACGGCTGATTCGCAACTTCCGGAGGCCAAAGGCGTTTGGTTTGCCAGACGACCCAACACAGCCAGTCCGGAGGACCAGACATGCGCGCCAGCCACGCCAACGGCAAGGATCTCGCCAAGGAGATTTCCCTCCTGAAGGCCCAACTCGAGGAGCTGACGGAGTCGATGAGCGGCACCGGGCACTCGATGGTCGCCAAGGGCGAGGAAGCCGTCGAGGAGACGCTGAAGTCGGCCCGCGAACTAATCGCCAAGTATGGCGACACCGCCAAGGCGATCGCCCAAG